CCCCCCCCCCCCCCCCACAAGGTTTGGAAAGCCACTTACCTCTAACCAAGCTCAAATCAATCCGTAATAATGCTCTTTCCACGAATATCTGGCTCTGGAGGACCCAAATCTAGCCAAAACCAATTACATAACATAAATATAGCTACAAGAAACTAATCTAGATAACGAAATCAAAGCTAAGGCAAGAAATTAGAAAAATACCCAAAAAGCCTCCCCGGTCCCACATCTCGGAATCGGGTAATAGTCACAAAATATGAACACCCACTCACTCACGAGTCTAACCATACCAAAATTACTCCAATCTGATACCAAAATCTCGATCAAAACCCCAAAATTCGGCCTAAGAACTTTTCCCAATTTTTTCCCAGTTGTTTCACCCCGAATCTAAAATTAAATGATGAAATCAAGCATAGATTAGTGGGATATAACCATAACGGAGTTAGGAATCATTACCCAAAAACTTCCTCGGAATATCTCTCAAAATTTCGCCTCCTACCGAGCTCTCAATCAAATTTTGTGATATGAACTCAAAACCCTCGTTTTGAACTTTAAATTCTGCTCAGGGATTCCTTAATCGCGATCACGGAAACAACCTCGCGATCGCGAAGAACAACTTAGCTGCCTCATACGCGAACGCGTAAAACCCCACGCAAATGTGACGTTCTAACTCCCACACCTACGCGATCGTGAACCATCCAACGCGTCCGCAATGAACAAATGTGTGGCCCAGCTTTTGGACCACTTAACACTATGCAAACGCGGCCTAGCTCATGTGTTCGTTGAATTCGTCGATATCACCATGGTCTATGAGGCATTAGTTTAGCTTTTATTTGTCAAATTCGTCGATATCACCATGATCTAGCTTTGTGGATTCGTTTGACGAATAATGCTCGTTTGGTGCCATGTCGCAACCTAGATGTCAAATTGAATTGTGAGATTATGTCATTTTGACCTAGCCCAAGTAACCTTTTAGTGGGTCACTTACATGCTCATTTGACACCCTTCTTGGGATGTTTCTACTTTCTACGAAAATATGCTTAATCTCGATACTGTTTTTTCATTTATTATTAAGAATATCAATGGTTTAGCCAAAACTTAGCAAAGTTCTTGTCTACAGCTTGTGAAATCACTTGAGAATTATCCCATTCCCATTTGGCTTATACAAGCGCCCTACACCTCATTTATTTCGTCTTATTAAGTAATAGAAGTGGATTACTCAGAAATTAGCACGACGTGACCTCCAACGGGTATGGTGTTGGCAGAATGTCCCTATTTTTATGGTCTTAGCAAAATGTCCATTTTTTTACTTGAACACCATAGTTTTTTTAAAATTTTTATAGCTTAAAATTTTTGTTTTATGGTGGAAAATAAAAGTTAATGATTGATTTGTTGTTAAAATCATTTGAATGTTGATAATTGGTGTTTTCACTTTTAATTCAGACACAGATTTTAGTGATTTACTGTAAAAATCTCAAAACTTCATTGTTGCACCTTAGAAAGTGTTTAAGAAAATGAAGTGTGTCCGTTTAATTTGGTGTTGTTCAACTAAATTGGAATTTGAGGATTGTTCGTGCTGGTATTTGAAAGCTTTATTTCAAATTGGGATCATTTTGAGTAGAGGTGGGGTGGTTTGATCGAAATTAAAGTTGCTAATTCAAAAAACACTTTGTTATAACAATCTAGAAAAATGCCAATTTGTTAGATTTTGATGAATAACTTAACAAATAAGTAGACAAACATAGCATAACCTCTACCGACCGGGTGGAAAATCCCCGAAGAGCAGAAGTATGAAAATCTGGCAGACTTCAATGAACAACTTAACAGATAGGTAGAGTAATAATAACATTAACTCTACCGGATTGGTAAAAAAATCCTGAAAAGCAAAAGTATGACAATCCAGTCGACTTCGATGAACAATTTAATCCGGTAAAGAACCCCCTGAAGAGTTTGTGTGGGTCCGAAGTTATTTTTTAAAGACATTCCGCTAAATTCACCTCCAAAAAGTTCCTTTTGCGTCAATCAACCTATTCCCCGTCACGATAAGGTTCTACAAAGCTTCCTATTCAATATTTGAAACTTATTTACCAAAATTGTCCATATTTTGTATACCCGCCTTAAACAAATTTTATTTACAATTTATATACAATACATTATTAGTGCCTTAAATTATGAATTCTTTGCTTGGAAAAGAGCATAACTGAAGGGAACGAAACGCAAATTGTTCTTCCATCTAAATAAGACTCATTCCAGTTGTTTGTTACCTACTTTTAACCATAATCAACGCAACTCTTTTCTCTCTTTGCCATAATTACCCGTTTTAAGAAAAGAATAATGTATGGTAAAATAGCATACGAAGTAAAACTAAATTTAATACAAAATTTGATATATCTACAACAACATACATACTAAAATAAATTTTCATACAACTAATTATACAGTTACAGCTTATTTACAAGTTATCTACAACTTTCATACATCACCTTTACCTAATTAAATACAACAGCAACATCAAACAATTTAAATACAATTTTCATACAAATATTTTACAATATATCTTTCATATGTATTTGTATATGATATATATTTTGTCTGTGGTGTGTTCTTCTGATTCTTCTTCGAATTTTAATCTGAAAATCCAGCCAAATCTAATCATAATCTTCACCAAATACCCTCAAAATCGTGATATAAACTCCATATAATATTCCCAATCGTTTGCAATAACACCCAGTCCAAACAAATAATATTTTTTTAAAAATCCCAATTCAAAATCAAGGCTTCAAAGCTTTTTAATGACTCATTGTTGTTCTCAAAGGTCAAGAAAAACCTCCCATGTTTCAGTGAAATCTACACATCAACCAGCTGCTTTGGGAGGATCGCGAACTGTCCACCGGCAACTATTATCAGAGAAGTACAGAGTGAGTAAGAACAAAGAGAGAGACGAAGAGAGATTATCGGAGAAAACAAAGTGAGAAAGAACAAAGAGAGATATGAAGAGAGATTCTTGGGTAATTGGCTGAAGATGTGAGATCCGGTTACCAAATTAAGAGGTACAATCAAGGGACACTCATTTAAAATTAATTTGTATGTAATTGATAAATTGTAAGGAAGCTAAATAAGTTGCATATATAGTATAGATAGGTAAAAATCCCTTCTAAAAACCCACAAAGTATTAATAAGAATAATAATTTGACTAATCTATCACTTATTAGTTTTTTAATCTTTGTCTATTTACATGGTTCTTAATTCTAGTAAAATTCATGTTAAGGGTAAAGCTAAAAAATTATAATTAACTATCTCCTAATTTTCTATAATGACTGGGAACAACTAATTTTAGTATACATAACAGCTAAAAGAAAAGGGATTTTTGGCAAAAAAAATCCCTGCACGTCGATTGAACTTGTAACTCTCTAAAAAGCTCCAAATAAAAAATTACACCTCAGCAAAGACAGTAATGCTCCTTTGATCTCAAGAATAAATGATCTTCACAGTAAATTACTTATCTTCATATGAACGTCATATTTAACAAAATCCATGGCCATTGGGTTGGCTTAAGTAGAAAACTGGAAGCAGCAGACAAATGTTTGTTGTAAAATAATATGTAGCTCCCCACAGATTATCCATGGAAAATTAAGCGACCATATAAAAATGATGATAACCTAATAACCCCCTCCCACAATATCTACAGGCATGACATACAATAGCACTGAACACAAAAAGCTTGATACAGGTGAAAGAAACCATTATAGAAGGGAAAGTAACGTGGTTTGAGAAAGTCTTATTCACTGAAATCAATGCTGCCACTGCGAGAGCTGCTGGCATTGCGACTATGTAAGGACATGCCTCTCATGTGGCCAGAAAGAGTAGAACCCTCAGACTTGTTTTCTTGGAAGAACCGTTCTCTCTCAGCATGCTTTGAAGGAGGTGGAGGTATTGTGACAGCTGCTCTTCCAGTGTTGTTTTCTTGCTTCTGTTCTGTAGGCGTTGGCCTTATAAGGGGACGATGTAGCATATTCCCTGGAACTGCAGATCCTAGCAATCCAAAAGTACGTTCTACTTGGCAGTCTTCATCTTCAGGCAGTAGCCGAGCTTTTCCTTTTCTTATTCTATGAAGTTGAGCATAATGTTAAAAACCAAAGCAACAATAGAGTCATCCAAATACAAAAGGCTGGTTGTTAAGAGGTAACCAACAGCAATGATTCAAAGTTCAAAAAGAAACTACCAATATATTTCTCACGGTTCCATGTGAAGTCTGACATTCTAAGAAGGCATACCTTCGGAAAAGCTGTTCAGCCTCCTCTTCTTCATCTGATTGCCCATGATCATGTGGATTTGATGTGGAGGTTGGCCAAGCAGAAAGAAGTGCATCATGTCTTTTGAGAACTCTATCAAGCTTCTCGTTCAGCTCCACTGCTTGGGAGACCACCTTTTCATCCCTGGAATGTGCGAGCATGGATGAATCTTCGATATATGCAGTCTAAGCTCATCAAAAGAAATTAAATGGAAGGACACGAAAATGTCCAATGCTTAAAAATCAGAGCAACAGTAATCAGCAGTGTTCATAATCATCTTTGCTGGTGGCAAGTTGACGTGTTCCATTCACTTTATCACCTATAAACATTTGAAAATAGAAACTATATCTGCAAAGTGTTCAAAAATTTCTTGCTTCCACATATGTTTTCTCTTCAAATTTTCTGCACGGAATCTACAAAAGCGGAATTAAATTGCATTGACTTGATTCCCCCCTTTCTTGGTGTGTCCCTTTTTAGGAATTTCTGTCTCTTGTGCTTTACTATTGTAGCACTTCCGGTTCTTATATTGCATTAATTTGAATCGATAGTGCATTCATTCTTGCTGGTATCTTAGACATTTTGCATGCTTGCTCCGTTATTGTACTTGTCTATTGTAGCTCTTTGCTGGTTTAGTGGCAGTGAGAATTTAGCACCACTTAGGCCTCATTTGTTTGCACTTAATAGAGTTCTAAATCTTAATCATTCAGATCTCAAACATTAAGTGCGTTTGTTTTTAAAGTCTGAATTTTAATTATTCCGATCTTAATCAATAAGTGTGTTTGTTTTTTTTTACTTCACAACCACTTAATAAGTCTGAATAGGTCTGTATCATTAAGATCTATAACAGACACTTAATTTCATTAAGATGCTATCATCCATATTCATTATTAACTGCCGCCACTGCCTACTATTATCAACTACCACCATGCTACTCACCACCACCATACTCAACTACCACCACCATCATCCTCAATCATAGCCGCCACCATTGTCGACTACCACCACCCACCATCCCCACCTCCCATCACCATCATTCTCAACGACAACCAACATTCATCCACCTCAACTACCACAACTAACCATCCCATCACCATCAACAATCATAGCTGGCACTGCCCATCATTATAAACTGCCACCACCCACCACCATCTTCCTCAATCACAACTACCACCACCACCACCTGCCATTATTAACTATCACCACCCGCCGCCACCATCCTCAATCATAATAGCTACCACTACCAATCACCACTAGCTACTATCCTAAACTACCACCATCAACCAAATATACCACCAACCACCTTCTTTAGTAGGCACTCACAAGCATTACTGTTAGCCATCACCACCAGCAACTATCATATATTAAAACGCTATATATTTTAGTGATGGGATATTAGATTAATTAGTACTCCCTCTGTTCCAGTTTATGTGAACCTATTTCCTTTTTGGTCTGTTCCAAAAAGAATGAACCCTTTCTAAATTTGATAATAATTCAGGTTAAACTTACAACTCTACCCTTAATGAGAAAGCTTTTATAACCACACAAATACTCTGGGCCCCATTTTGACTTGTTTAGGACCACAAATTCCAAAAGTCTTCATTTTTTTCTTAAACTCCGTGCTCAGTCAAATAGGTTCACATAAATTGGAACGGAGGGAGTATTTTATTTGAATTTTATGTTTATTAATTATCAAATAAACGTAAATTTTATACATTCAGATGTTAAAAATCAAACAGTCTTAATCATTTAGTATTCAGATCTTAATACACATCTTAACATTCAGACGTGTATTCAAATTCAGATGTCTTAATCTTAATACACATCTTGATATTCAGGCGTGTATTCAGATTCAGGCGTCTTAATCTTAAAAAAACAAATGAGGCCTTAGACTATAGTGGTTGTGGTGAGCAATGATAAAGTAAGGTCATATCCTCGGTTAGGGTAGGGGGTAGAGGGTAAGGCAACCTCTAGGCTGAGAGATGGGTCCTGGAGCATAGAAACATTGACGGGAAGTCTATAAAGTAAATGAAGATTCTCCAGAAGAGGAAGATCAATATAGCTTGTGTCCGGGAGGATGGGTGGGAATGAAAGCTCGGGAAGCAGACGGGTTTAAGTTGTGGTTGGAGGGAGGTGGGGGTAGGGGGAAGAATGGGGTAAGCATCTTAGTTGATAGGGAACTTAGAGAGCTAAACTTAGAGAGCTACTGTAGAAGTTAGGATGGTGAATGACTGGTTAATGGCTATTAAGATAGTTGCGTGAGGGTTTACTTTAAACATAATTAGTGCTTATGCGGCTCAAGTGAGTCTTTGGACGAGGAGCTTAATAGGCGCTTCTGCGTGGACTTAGATGGGTTAGTGCGGGGAATTCCGGACACCGAGAAACTTATCATAGGAGGAGATTTTAATGGCCACATTAGGACATCTTCTGGGAATTATGACGATGTGCATGGAGGCTTCAGGTTTGGAGATAGAAACGGAGGAACTTATATATATTGTGCTAAAGCTTTCGATTTTGATTTGGTGATTGTTAACTCGTGTTTTTGAAAAGGAGGAGCACTTGGTCACCTTCTAGTGGCCAAGATCCAAATTGATTATCTACCACTCAGAAAGTGTGATAAAGATTTATGCTCAGACTGTAAGGTCATCCTGGGTGAGAATCTCACGACTCAACATAGGCTATTGATTATGGACTTTGAGAACATGCGGAAGAGGAAAAAGAGGGTTGTGTCTAGTCTACCTAGGATCAGGTGGGGAGCCTTGACTAAGGACAAAGCTCAGGAGTTGAGGCAGAAGTTGTTGGCTAGGGGGCCTAGAGGAGTAGTTGGACGCAAGTTATATGTGAACCATGACAGCAAACTGTATTAGAGAAGCTGCGAGAGAGATGTTAGGGGTCTCGGATGGTTTCTCTGGTCCACAAAAAGGACTGGCGGTAGAATAAAGAGGTCAAAGGAGAAGTGGAAGCCAAGACAGCAGTGTATGAAGCTAGCAGAAAGCATAGACGAGGTGGAGAAGAGAGCTAACAAGGAGCGGTATAAGAAGGCTAAGAAGGAGGAAAGGTTAGCGGCTACTGCATTAAGACTGCAGCGGTTGGACGTTTGTACGAAGAACTTGGGGAGAAAACGGGGATAAGAAGCTGTACAGGCTGGCCAAAGTGAGAGAAAAGAAGGCTCATGATTTAGATCAAGGGAAGTGCATAAAAGACACGGGTAGAGTTTTGATAGATGAGGCACAGATTAGGCGGAGATGGCAGACATACTTCCATAGACTCTTGAATGAAGGAGAGGATAGGAATATTGTGCTTGGTGATTTGGAGCACTTCGTGAGTCATCGAAATTTTGGGTACTATAGGCGCATAGGAGTTGGGGAGGTCTAGGGAGCTAAATGTAGGGTGAGCAGGGGTAGAGCGACTAGGCCAGAGGAAATCCCTGTAGAATTCTTGAAGAACGCGGTTAAGGCAAGCTTGGAATGGCTCACTAGGTTGTTTAATGTCATTTTTATGACGAAGAAGATGCCTGAACAATTCGCATAATCATGTGTAGGTTAATCTCCTGTTCAAACATGATAATTGGTATTTTGTGGCGTATATGCCTAATTTGAGCTATGGATGTTTGAACAGGAGATTAATGTCATTTTTATGACGAAGAAGATGCCTGAACAATAGAGGTGGAGCACGATGATTCGCATAATCACGTGTAGGTTAATCTCCTGTTCAAACATGATAATTGGTATTTTGTGGCGTATATGCCTAATTTGAGCTATGGTAGCACGCTTCACACATGCATACACTTTATCATGTCACTTTTATCGGTCCATGAGTATGTAATTTAATATCCATTGTTTGTATGCTTGTATTCTTGTATGTCTATGTGTGATATGGATTGGATTGCACGTGAGTGATCCGTGCAGTTTGAGTTATGATTGCACGTGAGTATTTTGTGCGGTTGTTACATTATGGCACGTGAGTTGTCCGTCCAGCGTATGGATAAGAATTCATCCCCTAGGGTCGTCCTCTCATGTTTCTCTCTTGATGACGTACACGCAGTATGAGGAAAACTGATCAGTGTTTGGTTTTTGCATCTCTTCTCTATTTGCAAATACTTTGGTGTATAACATGTTTTTATCGCATATCTTCTCTATATGCTAGTTTTGAAATGTATACATGCCTCTTTATGCATATCTTCTCTATATGCTAGTTCTAAAATGAATACACGCCTCTTTATGCATATCTTCTCTAAATGTTGTTTTGACTAGAAGGTGAAGGCACGATACATATCTTCTCTATATGTTAACCTGTGCACAATGACTTGGTTCTTAATGCATATCTTTTCTATATGCTAATATTGACGATCCTTTGATGATAAGTGCATATCTCCTCTATATGGTGAGTTGTTAAATTGTTATAAGACTTGGCACATCTTCTCTATGTGCATTGATTTGGTTATACCTGTGTTTATGAAAATACATAAAGCAAAACTACTCTATATTTACATCAAAAGGGACCTCAATTCCTATAAGGTAAAAGCAGGTCCATTGGTGGCACTTGAAGGGGCCGCAACCTTGTCTTTAGCATTAGGGTCTGCGCACGCGGTGCTGGCCGCAGAGCATGGGTTGATTGCGCTGACAACGAGCACGCGCTACGGCGCGACCTGTTAGCATCTGCCTGCGGCGGGGCGCTGGCGAGGGCCATTAATGGGGCGACATAGACACAGGCACACTTGTCACTTGGCACTGCCAAGACCATGAGGCCGTCCATGGCACTAGGTGTTGGAAGGTTTGCCAGGACGCCATCGGGCACGTCCAAGAGGTCATGGGGCATGGCTGGAAAGCCGCCCATGACATTGGGCTCATATACCGAAATCTAAGTAATTAATCAAAAAAGTAGTAGTGTTATACGAGATTTAGGAAGGGGAGCACGGGTTCACGTGAATCAATCCCCCTTCCCTGTGAACCCCCCCCCCCCCCCTCCGATACATACTTTCCCAAATTTGTAAGTTCAGGGCAGAGGGGGTTTCAATATCTCGAAACTTTCATGCTTTATATCGAAGATGGAAAATTGCATCATGGTTGTGCTACTTATTATACTTCATTTCATGTCTTCCACAGTTAGTTGAAACTCTAGAGTCTAGCACTAATAAAAAAAGGAACTCCAAAGGTGAACTCCAGCTTATTCATTTTTCCTTGTTATTGTACTTGTTCTTCAAATTTTTACTTTGGCTCTCCTAACGAAAAAAGCTTAACCTTCTCTTCCTATCGTAAATGAACCTAAGCATCAAACACTTTGATACACCACATGGAATGGGAAAGAAACAAAGAAAACTCTAACGAAATCCTTCCGAAGTGGGTGTAGAACCAAACTGATGCCCAATTTCGCATATGGGACCCTTATACAGATGTATCTCAAATATGGTACTCTGCTCTACCACTTACTCAGCATGTTCAATAGAAAACAAAAGGGTCTATCAAGAAGTCATTTGGTGCAAAAGAAAGTGGTTCTCCTTGCTTCTACACTGACCACCACATAGCAATTGAAGTCAGGACTCAGGAAGCATTACCGAGAACTTATAGCAAGATGCATCACACGTTGCTTTTGAAACGAACATTGCTCCACAAGATCGAGTGTGAACTCATCCTTTGCTCCCTTCAGGAAGAAAAATAAAAGAAATTACAGCCCGTACCTCAGCATCTCCTAGGTGCTATACTTTACTAATATTATCTTACCTTCTCCAAAGATAAAGGAAAAGAAATTACAGCTAAAACTGCTTATCAGAAAGGAATGACTGAAAGCTGAGAACTATACTACCAATATGTACACGTTATATGATTTTGAGTCTATGACCATATTGAACCCAGACGAAAATGGCATGTTTTAATTGGACTTAGTGTATGCACGTTAGACATTGACAGTTGGCTTAGATATATGCAAACATAATAACTCGAGCAATCATACGTCATGCCAAGACAATCAACTAAATACAAAATCTACTTTCTTCCAGATATGCCAGAAAAGAACAGATCTCTGACAAATAATACCTCTTGAATGAAGAGCAAATCGAACAAAATTGCCTGGACAAAAACTTGTGTCAATCACAAGTAACCATTTATTTCAATAGCTATAATACCATAAAATTTTCACTAAAAATTAAACCTTAGGTAGCAGAATTGGTAACGGTGACTTGAGAAAATGATTCCAAAGATACCAACCACTGTACATAACCCTATTAAAGAACATAGAAAGTTACAGATGTTAGATTACCCCCGACATACCTCAGGATGCTGAGTGTTGACAGCATCAAGGACTTCCCTTAGAACCTCTAGGGCAGCGGCAGCCTTCTGTAGGATACTGCATTATACAGAAGCTCTCTCACTAAATAAATTTAACGCCTAAAGATTCAACAAAAAGGTGAAGGCTAAAGCAGCTTACAAAAAGTTAGAAAAAAGGAAAATAAAAAAAAAGGGAGGAAGATTTTAACTCCAAGCATTTGTGTTGCACATCAGGGTACGTTTGTGTTCGATTATTTGAAAGAAATCTACTTCAGCAGCCTTCTTTTCCAGATTTATTGGAAGACATGTGACTATGAATTGTATAATCATCAGATTGGTTACAGATTTCTAGTAACACAATATTTCATAAAGGTCCCATCATATTAAGATTCACTTAAGACTATGGTGAAGCAGCAAAGTCAAGAACATATGCAAATAAATGATGAAGGAAAGAAACTATAAAAAAGGAGAATGTAAACAGCCCAATGCTGCAAGGCAGTAAAAAGGGAAGGAGTGATGGAACTATAATAACAGAGAGAAGAAATTGAACCTCAAGGGAAGTGAAGAATGTTGATCTTTCAGGCTTGCTCGACTTCTGATTTTCTGACTACTTCATTAACAGGGAAGAGTATAGGCTCTCTATGGATAGTTTGGTTCTGGTTCTTGATCCTAGGGGTTTAGGGAAGACATTTTTTTTGGTTGGGTCTTTGTTGACATGAGACTATGCAACAAAGTAGACATGTCAAACCCCCTTTAACCTTGGGCGCAAACCCATTTAGGTTTTACTTATTAATTAACATTTCTATGAAACAAGAGCTGGTGGGAACCAGAGTGTAACATTTTCGATAGTCTAACATTCTCTATATCATTTTTAAGTTTCTAACTCAAAAAACTTCTAATGACATCTTAAATCATGTAGCTATATAGAAAAGAGTCATAAAAAGTTGTTAGAAAAGTTCCATAGGAGCCTGAATATGCACGGAGCTTTCTCTTAGAATTTTAAATTCTTATTCCTGCAGGTGCTGGCTCGGCAGAAGCATCCATCGAGAGAACAATCAGGATGCAGCCTGCACTAAGAATGAGGATATAGAGAGCGGAGAAAGGACAAAATGAGCATTTTCTTCTCCATTTTGGCCACTGATCAACAGAGGAGATGGCTTTATTCATTAATGTCTTAAACTTCTAAGCTCCCTGGTATACTAAAACCAAGAGAACTGTTTTAACGAATTCTTTTCATTCTCCCATTAAAAGTATGGCACATGTGGCATTTTACCTGTTGTCAGGAAATTTTTGAGGCTCTGCTTGTGGGAATTTTATTTCACATCTAGAAGAGACATGATCATTGTCTCGTTGATAATGTTTATTCTCATTTGAGGGAGTATGCGGTTCGGAGGAGACGAGAGGTCTTTGAGGAAACTGCACACCTGCATTCTGAAAAATCAAATCTCAAGCATTACCAAAGGGTATTAAGAGTTTTACACCATCATAAAAGATATCAATTGTGCAGATAATATGTTATTTGTAAAGAAGAAGAAAAAGGATCCAGAAAATTTACAAGTAACTTGCAGTACACATTGAAAAGGTATATTTTTTTAACTCTCTACTGACACATATTAGCTCCCCGCATGCCATTGAAAATACAAAGTTGAATAATTCTTTCAGAAGGGGTAAGAAAACCCTTCAGACAACAACCATGAGAGTATGGGTCCAATATTTATGTATAGCAATAAACCAAAAGCCATTCACCCTTTCATTATCAAAAAATAGAATATCCAAAAAAAACGTAACCAGACAAATAATGATGTTCATGAAAAAAAAATAACAGTCAACAGAAAAATGCCCAAGACATTTCTCTACGGGAATCCAAACTTTGAGAGAGGAGGTCCCACACAACAAAAGAGATCACCATGCAAACTGAATGGAGTCAATTATATGACTTCCATTTTCTCCTTAGCAACCCCACCGCAACCCTGGATTCTATTAGGAGTGTGACGACCCGACCGATCATTTTAAGCTTTAGCATTCCATTCGGTGGTTTGAGACTTTGAGTAGCTTCATATGATGTATTATGACTTGCGTGTATGGTCGGCTTTGGTTTTCGAGTAGTTCGGGATTGATTTGGAAGAATGATTCTCGATTTAGAAGCTTCAAGTTGGAAGAGTTGACCAAGGTTAGACTGTTGGGTAAACGGATTCGGAATCGGATTTTGATGGTTCCGATAGGTTCGTATTATGATTTTGGACTTGTACGTATATTTGGATTGTTTTTGGAGGTTCCTAGAAGAATTCGACACGATTTGTCGAAAGTTGGCAATTCGAAGAACTTAAGAGTTCATGAGTTTGACCAAGTGTTGACTTTGATGTTATTGGCCTCCAATTGTTGTTCCGAGACTTTGGACAGGTCTATATAGTTGAATTGAACTTGTGTGCAAAGTTTGGAAGTAATCTGAAGTGTGTAAATGTGATTCGGATGTTCTCGTGGGTGTTTTGAGCCTTTGGATAAGTTTGGATAATAAATTTGTACTTGTTGGTATAATTGGACGGGGTCCTCGAGGGGCTCGGGTATGTTTTGGATCATTGGTTGAGAGACTAGTCAAGTTGACTTTGATGTTATTGGACTCCAATTGTTGTTCCGAGACTTTGGACAGGTCTATATAGTTGAATTGAACTTGTGTGCAAAGTTTGGAAGTAATCTGAAGTGTGTAAATGTGATTCGGATGTTGAATTGAACTTATTTAATCATGCATATCTTCTCTATATGCAACTATAGGAGGATTAATTGATATTTCATACATATCTTCTCCATATACAACTGTTGGAGGACTAATTGATATTTCATGCATATCTTCTCTATATGCAACTATTGGAGGATTATTTGATATTCGTGCATATCTTCTCTATATGCAGCTGTGGAAGTATTATTTAATATTTGACTCATATCTTCTCCATATGTTGAGTGTTAGATAGTACCTGTGCATATCTCTTCTATATGCAATTGTCGATGTGTTATATGATATCAAATGCATAACTTCTTTATATGTTGAACCGTTCAGACAGGCACACATCTCCTTTATGTGAACTGTTTGGTGGTACCTGTATTTCATGTTTAAGACTCTGATTCCGTTGCTAGGTAGACACATATGTTTGAGTTGTATAGGTTTTTATATATAGTGAGTATCCTTGACCTGAGATCTCGTCACTACTTCACCGAGGTTAGTTAGGATACTTACTGAGTACATGGGGTCGGTTGCTCATACTACACTTCTGCACCTTGCATGCAGATTTTGGAGCTGAGTAGCTGTGGAAGACGAAGCCTTGCTTGGAGACGTACCAGCGTTCCGGATTCAAGCTACCTTTTGTTCGTGATAGTTTAGGATTTCATTTCTGTTTATGAAAACTTCAAACATATATTGTATTTATTTCTCACATCAGTTTTGTAAATCTAAATCATAGCGGCTCATGACTTGTACTATCAGTCCTTGGGGTAGTCGTAGTGAATTCTTTTGCGGTTTTACTTGTAATATTGGTGATTTCTCATCGTAGTAGTACTTATATTGTTTGGCATACCTAGCGGATTAGGTTATGTACCATCACGACTTGGTGGGATTTTGGGTCGTGACAAGGAGGGAGTCGATCCAAAGGGAAAAGCACAAAACAAACTACTTTTGGTTTGACCTCTTCCGTTTTCTACTTACTGCTATTTTTGGGATTGACCATGGAGCAGGATAGGATATTCTTTTATGTCCAAAAGGCAATCCACATAATACGTTTAGAATCCACAACTTATCTTTTTAGTGTATTCTTCCTTAGTTCAGGTAAGATTTGATCATTTCTTCTCTAGTTGTATTAATTTCTGGTTTCGATGCTTATGCACATCCGAAGTCACGAGGTTGAGCGTCAAAACTCCAGGTGGTGGCTGAATTTGTTGCACATCTATACCTTTTTTAATACATTAGAAAATTTTATAAACACCAAGTTGGTGTGACTATTACAATGTGATTCTAAAATAATATCATTAGAAACCCCAAAAATCTATCTGACTCTCTAATACAACACAACTTTTTTCTGCTTACACCAAAGATACTGGTAAAAGAAAAGAGATCTTTGATTCTTTGTACTCAATTCTGGAATATCATCCCAGTTGCTTGATTTTTACAGCATTGTTTCACTCGACAATGCATAAGCCACAAGACAAGTCCCCTACTACAACTAGCCTTCAGCCCAAAAAGGTTCTGACAAGATCAAGTAAGCTGTACTATCACTAAGTCGAGATGTAAGTTCTCTCCTCCATTCTACATGGCTACAGGAGCATGAACTTCAGGAGTTGTCTTTAAATACAATCCGCATCAGTAATGTTAAGAGTTATTGAGGACTCGGGGTCCAAACTTCATCCATTGAGCAATGGAACTATGCGAGCTATTTGGGGAAAATACATTCTGAAAGTATAAAACTAGAATGAAATATTTTGTTGATATGGTTTAAGCATTTTCTGAGAATGGTGACATTTCATTCATCAGCACAAAGATTATGCTGGCAACAGCTTGTATACTTTATAAGGCTTCCAAAAATTGTAGAATAGATTCTGCATCTTCTACAAAAAGCTCTTTACACCAAAAGTGAGAAAATTTAAGATACAATTCACTTTTACTACTTGTATGGAGCTACTCTTATCTCCAAAACACTGCTGTTTCTTTCCTTGTTTTTAACATTATTTGCGTGACATCTTTTTCTTTACTTGATCTACTGCTCTTTTTTCTTCCTTCCTTTCTTCTTTACTTTTCTAATCATAAAAGAACCTTTTACTAGTTACCAAAATTTTCATTACGCATCACTTGGTCAAATTTCTCAATTTTCAATAACCTTGTGAAAAAAATAACATCACAATATATGTCCTAATTTTGAGTTTGTGTAAGCACAGAGCGTAGTCTCAATTAGTTAAGAAACAGATGATGACCATCCTCAAAATTAAGGAGATATAATTAAAGGATTTACACGCAACATCTAGTATCTTCAACTCTTTCTTTTCTTTTTCAGTAGAGTACAGACAGGTCAATGTTTCTCAATAGAATACTGTTATATGTAGGGTTAGGGAGAATCTACCTACCACTAACTCATAATATGCAGAATAATACTGAGGAAACCTCCCAGAAGCTCCGCCAAGAGAAGTCTGTGCAGCATCCAGAAGAAGAAATATCTTTTCTCTTACAGGTAGATCTGACTATATAAAGAGAAAGCAAAAATTAACACCCCCTTAGATATTAGGAGCAATAGCAAGACCTGAGCATGAAAAATTTAAGAACAAAAGGGGGGGAAATAAAAATAAAAGCTGAAAAATTGCAGACCTTTTTCTTTACTATCTTCACAAGTACCGGAAGGGTTCCTGTATCAATAACCTGCTTATGAACAGGTTCTCCGATATTGTTTATCAACATTTCCAGCAACTGCAGTATTAAGTGACAGCCCAGTAAGTATAACCAACAAATGAAGTGTCTTTATAAAGGCTGCTAAACCAGCAAAAAGATTGTTGTACAATCAATGGGACAACAAAATTTCCAATCAGATGGCAAATGTTGGAGAATCTAAAAGCACTGACATTTACTGAGAAGAGTTGTGAGTTTGGGCTTTTGCTTCCCAGCCGTTTCTTAATAGCTTTAACGACATCTCTGGCTTGCCTGCTCAAACCAAAGCAATATCATGTCCTTGAGTCATCAATAAGATGCAACCTGAATGCTTGGCAGAAAAGTAGCTAAATATGGCTTAGTCATAGTTCCTTAGAAAACTTATTCAACACAAAAAGTTGGAGTAGCACACCAGACTAGCAAGAACTTGGTTTCCACAAGTAAAATGGGGATTTTTAAGAATTATAAAAACTGGATGAGTTTACACTCATTAATCCTAGTAAAAAAATTCAGCATGTAGTTCCTACTTAGGCATGTCACAGGGACCATGCAAATGAGGGTCTCTATTAATTATATATATTAAACATATAGGAAGGAGCCACAGAATCGGTACTCTTTTTTTTTTTTAATAAGGTACTTAGAATAGTATTTCGTTGGAGAAACTAGCAAAGTACCACAAAGAATTAAAATTGGCAATAGTAAAGAAACTTGCGAAGCCAATACTTTCTAAACATAGGGAAAAAGTAGTTTCAGCTTTCCCTTTGTTAATGTACTACTTTGTACCATCTTGGTACCTTATATCAATAAAAGTTTTACCATTTCAAAAAAAAAAAAAAAAAGATTTCAGCTTACTTTAGCGAAATATGAGCTTAGGGAGCTCCATTATTTTGTTCTCCTTTTTTTTTCATTTGACATTAGATACTAATCATTTTCAAATAATGAAGTTCTTATTTAAAAGGCATGTTCAAAAATTCTATAAGAATCAAAATTAAAAGAAAACCTAACTGTTTTAGATAAAGACTTTATCTAAGAGATTTTATACTGGCATGTCTTGCCCTTCTTTCAATGAAATTTTCTTACTTTATCAAAAAAAAAAAAAAAGAGAAGACTTTATGTAACAGATTTAAACTTCATTTTTGGTAAAGTAATAGCTGAAGGTACTAGTACTACCGCCACTCAGTATAAAATTTGAGAGGGAGTTGAAAGAAACTGCCATACTTGTGATCATGTGCAACCAATTCACATATTTCAATATTTTTTGTCCAATCTATTTCAGTGAGTTTGTCACTTGTTGCAGAATTAACAAGCTCTGCTGCCATTCTCCTTATTTTCCAGCTGGAGAAATGAGAATTTTGTCAGAACCTTCATAAATCTTTAGGAAAGTAAGCTATTTACTTCAAAGGGGGAAAAAAAGCAAGTAAAAGCTCCTCTGTGAGTTAGAACCATCTAAGTACTTAAAGGTCCCATCTGCTGCTAAAAACCCAAAATTGTTGGATCAAACTTAATACCATGCTCAGTTTGCAACATACAATCTATGGGCGCAGGTGCCAATATTGCAAGTAATCATTTAGGTGCTAGCACATTTTTCTACGACATAAATGAATGTGATTTACAGCAAACTGAAAGCTGTTTCCCCATGCACCACATCTTACTGGAACTACAACATGTTAACTAGATAAAAACAACCAATTGTTGGGATTTCTTCAACACAAATGGCGCAGAACCTTTCTTATTTTTAATATTTTTTTCCCAAAGAGGGAAGTCCTTAATATTTTTAAAAGAAGTGCAATGTAGTCTCTGAAGATTGATTTCCGGCAATTTCATTGCCGAACTTTTATTGGTTTAGTCACCCATGTGGGCACCTTTCAAGTGATCTCTCCAATTCTGACATAACTGGAGAAAGAGGTGAACTTTCTTTTTTTGTTAATGAGGACAGAACTAGAAAAAAACTGCTTAAAATATCATCTGGAGAGAAAATGGATGATCTCAGTTGCCAAGTTTGGATCTGATGGGAAGGACAACAACGAAGCCAAATAGAAGGTACTGAATGCAAACTATTATGCAGGGACTAAATAGGACTTTCTAAAAACACTTCTATTTCCCACTTGTCTCATAGCAGCTCAGAAATCATGTCTACAACTCTAGCCAAGAACTTCCCTGCAATATATGATACTTCATCTGCAAGATGCACAACAGGAAATGAATCCAGAAATATTTAATGTGGATAACGTCAAGATATTAAGATACCAAACTCTCAGAAGACACAAAGGCCAGATAAGAACATGCAGTTCACATATCAGAAGACTATTGTGGCAAAATGGGCATAAAACAAATGGGACGTGTGCTGAAATCTACAGAGAAATGCAACAGAATACAAGAAACTATGCTTACGGAAGTTACTCAATGTTTGTTTTCGGAATTTTTGCGTGTGTGCGCGTGGGGGGATGGGGGGATGTACTAGATCCACGAGGTTATGCAACCACAAGAAGCACAAAGAAGAATCCATTGCAAATGTAGTAAGAAGGCGCTAACCTTCAAATAGTTGTGTGTAAAATACTTATTAATAGACAATGACATGGTTATACAAATGCTAACGACCCTTGTTTACAGGGTTGTTGTGGGTGCCACTTGGATCGCACCACCTCAATCAAGGACCCTGATCTAATTTGTACCGCCTTCCGAAGAAAAAATGGTGATCCAGTATTCCAGTTAATACTGTGCCATTGATTGTGAAAGCCCTGTCTAAACGACCCAAAGATGACTGCATAGCAATCTATAAGTAACAGCAGCAAAAAGCTCCTGAATCAGCTATCCATTAACTTTAAGTATCTGTGCCATAACTGCTAAGCACAAAATCCCCACCCCAAATCTTTTGATGTTCGACTTGTAGATGGGAGCATTTGAACAATGAAACAAAATAGCCAAAGTGAACAAGGTCTGGAAGGATCGTCGTCCACTGCCATACGAAGAAGTGAGCGTGCAATCAAGAATGACTTATTCAATAACAAGTTTCAATTATTTCACTCAGAACTACACTCTATAGCGATGAAGAGATTAACACCCTATCCTTTCCTGTACCAGAAGTATTTGGTTGCTGCAAAATTAACATATAGAAAAAGAAAGCTAGATGAAGATGCAACTCCTGTAACGGACCTCTTTAGTAAGAAATAAAAATTTTACCAGGAAAATGTTTTCTATATAAGTTAATTGTCCCAATATAAAGGTAAGTTATTTTCCGTTCTACTCCTACAAACATATGAGCATTGATTCCCTTTCTGCTACTAACAATTGTCTCCGAGTAGCACCCACCCACCATGTCTCATCCTCACCTCTATTTCACTACCAACTTAATATCCAACCAAACATCCTAGATTTTTAAATCAAAAAATCAGTTTACGTGATCAAATAAGATAACGACACTAGCAGCGCCCAGAATTATTTGACTAATTCAGCAAGAAATCCAACAACTAGTTGCTTCTCAAATTAGCAGCCAACATCAATTGTTCCTTAAAACAAAAAGAAACAAAAAAGAAAAAAGAAGAGTATAATCATTTAACACGCATACTCAAATTAATCTAACACAAGTCGTTTTCAGTAACTTCCCACTTTATCCATCCAAATTCAGATCTCACAAAAGCATCTAGATGAGAGAAACTTCACATTTGAAAAGGGAAAACACCTTACTTGCTAATAGAGAGAAAGAGCAAATGTTCTCAAACAGCAAACTCCTCTAGAATCTCTCATAAATTAAAGCTACCAAAATCTTCTTTTTGCTTTCCAGATCACTGTACAAGTCACACAGCTTTAGGTACAACGCTTTCCACGAATCAAGTGTTTATAGCTGGGTAAAGAGAAGAGATTCTTTTATGAAAGTGATAATTTCGTGGCACGGCACCGACTTTCACCCCGAGCCCATTGACTTTCTATTGAACCTAAAGTGACACCGAACTTGTCAGAAAATATTCACCAAGGTTTCAAAATGGCACGGCATAGCCATTTTTATGGCTGGATATCCAAAATTAGCCACTATCACTAATGTCAATAATTTCTAGTCATTTTAACTTGAAATGTATATGTAATTGACAATTTTGCCCTTCTCCTTTTAAACGTCCTGTTTACTTAGGTTTCTTTTCTAAATCGATTTTTTTTTAACAAAATCCATTAGCCATAGTGCTTAGGGCTAGTTTAAATATATATATATATAAATATATATATATATATATATATATATATATGAAAAACAAAAAACAAAGTACCATGAGGTCTTACAAAATTAAAGGTAATAAGCTTTGTAGAATACATAATACCTATTACCAATTTTGAGCAAGTGGTGCTCAAAATTAGTAGCACAATTTATCCAATGAATGAATGCAATTATTGAGCTACAAAAGTAGTAAAAGAAATGAATAAAAACTACCCATGTAAGGTCATTATTCTTGCGAGTCCATATAGTCCAAAGTATGCAAATACTCATTAAGGTGTGAGACTTCATTTCCCATCCTGTTTGAGCAACGTATTTGTGCAATAATCTCATTCCAGCAGTACCAACAACAGCAGCAGTGGCATACGCTATTTCCAATGTCCAGCAAGCTCAAGCACTAACGAGCACACATTGTTGATACAAAATTGCGTGTGACTTCCAGTTGCAATTTGTTGAGTTTGATGCATAAATAGCCAGTTGCAAGGTAGTGTATTACTAAAAGACATTGGGTTGTCAATCCACAATGCATCCAGTAACCTCATTACTCCTCGCAAAAACCTGTACACCAAGTGATGACCATGACCAAAAAACTGGACAGTAATCCATTCTTGCATTCTAAATGTGCAAGAATGGGCGCAAGTACACTCTCCCATGATGGATACCGTATCAACACAAAACAAGTTCAGCTACTGCCTTGTATAGTAGGCCCAACTAAAACAGCCAAACTTTAGAATCAACACTGTGATCCTTGCTTCCATTTTGGTTTTCATCCTTGTGCTTGCCCTCACTACTCCTTCAAGAGGATGAGTATTAAGCAGTAATACCACCCATTGAACTTGTATCAAGAGACAAGGCATGAAGACAATATCTTTTTTCTGCAAAAAAAAAAAACACAAAGTTAGTAAAAACTAAATCTACCATGCTCTCCTCTATAAGAGGATAAGCATTGCAAGAGGTTAGAAGGGGATGAGATGGCGAGCACAATGGAGGGGGAAAGGACTGTTACTACATGGCTCCACCTTGTTCAAATAACCTAGCAAATTATGCACTGGACAGTGGTCCTATTGAGTGAAATTCTTTCGCTCAATTGGACATCATAGGAAAAAAGATTGTGAACGATGATAAGCTACAATGTCCCTATTTGAGGATAAGAGTTGCAAGTGGTTAGAAGGGGATGAGATGAAGAGCACAATGGAGAAGGATAGGATTGTTACTACATTGTTCCACCTTCTTCAAATCCTCTAATTATCATCGTTCACAATCTTTCTTCCTATGATGTCCAGTTGTGCGAAAGAATTCCACTCAGTAGGCCCACCATCCAGTGCATAATTTGCTAGGTGATCAGCCAATTTGTTGCCTTCTCTAAATATATGTGTTGTCCTGGCATTGCACATCTCCATTAATCTCCATATTTCCTCCACATATTCCACTATTCTCCATGGTGTACTCCAAGTCCCCTCAATGACATTTTTCAATAACAAATAGTGTGTTTGCAACCATACATGAGAAAGGTGGTTCTGCTTACAATATCTGAGTGCTTCAAGTATTGCCAATGTCTCCACTTCAGTGTTGGTTGTTTCACTAATCTCCTGCCCATGTGCATGTATAACATCCCCATGATTGCCCCTTAAGCAGAAACCTATTGCACTCATGCCCGGATTTTCCCTAGCAGCACCATCCGTGTTCACCTTTATCCATCATTCCATAGGAAATTCCCATAACACTTTAGTGACCTTCAATCTTGGTGTATACTGCTCGAGCATTTGCAAAAGGTCTGGCCATTTGTGAGGCACATGCTTTAGGCCATGCTTCCTAACCTTGACAAAAGCTTGCAAAGTAGAGGATACTTGATATATCACTCTACTAACTGTAACCATCTCCCTATATTTGCAACTGTTTCTCCTTTTCCATAGTTCCCAAATGATGATGGATGGCAACACTTGAAAAATTGGTTTGAGTCGAGGAATTACATGAGTTGTCCAGCATTTGACCACTGCCTAGAGTAAATTTGTCCATCTAATGATAATCCGGCATGAGAGAAGAAGTATGACCATGTTCTAGTGGCAGGGTACGATCTAAAGAAGACATGAGCCATGGATTCATCTTATGGATTGGCACAACACCAATATCTAGAAGTAATAACGTACCCATTCTCCTTATCACATCATCAAGTGGCAGCTTAGCTCTCCGGAACTTTCACATAAAGAAAGATATCTTGAAAGTCAATCCTTTAACCCACATCTTCTTGTAAGCATTGTTAGGATCCCTTCTCCTTCGTAAATATTCTCATGCCGACTTCACACTAAAAACACCCTTTGTATCCAACATCCACACCTGTTTATCAAGCACATCATGTTCCATTGGAGGTGTTATATTATCAATAATGTGCTCAGTAAACTCCTCCGGTAGTAAAGTCCTCAATCTATTTTCATCCCATATTCCTTCACTGATCACTTCCCTCACATTTTTTACTGTTTCATCAATTGGAAAATCTGGAGGAATATTGAAATAGAGTGCTCCTAATCCTGTCCAATTATCATACCAAAAAAGAGAAGATCCCATTTTTGATTTCCATAAAATTTGATGTTCTATCAAGTCCCTACTTTCAAGCATCTTCCTCCTAGCATGTGATCCACGCTTCCAAGGTACAATGACGGCATTCAACTTTTTACAATACTTTTGACTCATGAAAGAACTCCACAGAGTAGGTTTGGTACTAAAGTTCCACCAAAGATTACGGAACAAAGCTTTAGATACATCATGTAAAGACCTAAACCTTACTCATCCCTCTTCAACAGGTAGGCATAAATCTTTCCATGAAGGCCAATGTCTACTGTTTCCTCCTATTAAATTACTCCAAAAGAATTGAGCAGACATCTAGTTTATCAATCACATATAAAGAGGAGGATTAAAAGCTGAGAGAAGGTGAATTGGCATACTTTACAATACATGGGATATCAAAACAGCCTTACCTCCTATGGACAATAGTTTACCCTTCCAACCTTGTAGCCTACCAATTACTTTATTGACTAAAACTTGGTAATAATCCATTTTTCTCCTTGTATTAAAAATAGGGCAGCCTAAGTATGTGAAAGGAAACTCTTGCTTACCAATCCCAACTATTCTTTGCACCTTTGTAAGCACCTCCACAGTTGTTGAGTGATGCATATACACTGCTGAATTTGCTTTATTGATCAGTTGCCCCAACGCAATCTCATAAGAATTCAACACCTCCATGGTGAGTTATAAGGAAGTGGAATTTGAAGAAGAAAGATTATTGTATCATCTGCATACACCAAATGATTGATTTTTGGACTCCATTTTGGCAATCCAAATCCATAAAAATATAGATTCAGATGCAATGAGTTTAAACCTCCAGATAAGGCTTCTACTGCCAATATGAATAGTGTAGGTGACAATGGATCTCCTTGTTTCACCCCTCTTGTGGATTTAAAAAATCCATAAGGTTGTCCATTAAGAAGAACATAATACCAATTGTTAGAGATAATACCATACACCAACCCAATAAACCTCTCACAGAACCCCATTTTCCTCAGAACTTTTGCCAAGAAAAGCCATGAAAGCCTATCATAAGCTTTAGAAATGTCTAACTTGATCACAACATTATGACCTGCTCTTGTCCTTAATCTAATATCAGAGATGATCTCCTGTATTAAAAACACACTTTCTACAATACTCCTCCCCTTTACAAATCCCGCTTGTTCATCAGAGATATAGGAAGAAGATCCACCAACCTTTCATGTATTACTCTTGAGAACACCTTATAGATGAAATTGCTTAGGCTTATTGGACTCATATCACTAAATGTATTAACCTCATTCTTTTTTGGCAAAATCACTAAATTTGTATGGGTGATAAATCTAGGTAACTCTTGGCCATTAAAGAAGACTTTCACCATGTCAACTACATCCATTCCAACAATTTCCCACCACAATTGAAAGAAGCAACCATTGAAACCATCCGGGCCTCCAACACTCTCCCCATTCAGCCCAAAAATTGCCCGTTTAACTTCTTCTTTTGTTGGTTGATTAACCAGATGTAGGTTTTGTCCCTCATCCACCATACTTGGTACATGATCGAGGATACTAAAAGTAGTAGGAGGTGAATCTTCTTTGAATTGAGCTTGGAAAAAATTAACAGCTTCTTCTGCCATGGCCTCTCCATCTTCAATCCAATGCCCCATACTATTTTGTATTATCTTCACTTGTAGTTTCTTCCTTCTACCATTGACTTGAGCATGAAAAAATTTTGTATTTCTGTCCCCATCTTCAAACCAGTTCATCCCTGCCTTTTGTTTGCAAAACTATTCCTCCAAGTGCAAATATCTAATGAACTCAGCTTGAACTTTCAATAATCTTTCCTTGTTGTGTTGTGTAGGTTGAAGCTCGAATTGTGTTTCATGGATAATAACTAGTTCCTCAAGGCTGGCCACCTTCTGAAATATGTTCCCAAACATTGCTTGACTTCATGTAGATAGTGTTTTCTTTAACTTCTTCAGTCTGTAGTTAAACAATACAAACGGATTCTCAGCAGAATCTGAACTCCAATTTTCCTTTACTACATCCACAAAGGATTCATGTTTCAACCAAAACTTCAAGAATTTGAACGACTTCTTTATAGGAGGAGCATTGAGGTCGTACGATAATAATATAGGGAAATGATCTGATCCAGCTTTTGACAGGTGTGATACTTCCAAACCAGGCATCATTTGTTGCAATTCAAAGTTAGCCAAACATCTATCCAATCACTTGAAGATACAAGCATCATATGATCTTC